CTCAATGAAATAATATAATTCTTATGCGACCACAGCATAAAGAAAAAAATATGTATGGATGCCTGCACGGTAGTGAAATGTTAAAGTCTGTATAAATTTCATTCACAGACTGAAATCAGATGGACATTAATGACTGTGGCGCAATAAAGACGGCGAGCCAACAAAGCCAACAAAGCGAGGCGACTCGGTCCAGTCTTACTTCTTTAATTCTACTCGTTAACGTTGGATCGGTTTTATGCTTGGAGATAAAAAGAAAGGCAGTAGAAGGGAAATGAGGGAAGGTTAAGGTCGGTGGTATACGTGTAAGGTTCTACGTATTTATGTAGATGCATCTTTTACAAAAGGGGGGATGGTACACGTTTTCGGATGTCAAGTGATCGTCACCGAGTTGTCATTTCATTTTATGGTTCCGGAGATTGTGAAGAGATTTGGGTAATGATTGTGCAGATGAGGAGGGTGACGTGCATAAAGAAGTGCAAAAGTCTAACTGTAATTGGGCACAGATAAGGATGAGCAGCAGGAGCTTTGAGTACATAGATACCTTGACCATGAGGCGCAAGTGAACGTGGTAAAAAAAGAGAAATGTGTCTTCTTTAGTGAAATCATACATAGGTGAGAATAGTAAAATTCCTGCAGACACGATGACATAAAACTTGACCATGTCGACTACCAAAAACCAATAAGAACTAAGCTTTGGTATTTTATTAAATAGAGTAGACATATGTAGCTATAAATTAGTAATAAAAATAATATCACTTTTACGCTAGAAAAGATCAAAGTTTAGGCATCAAGTTTACTGTCGTTAATCTTCTGTCTTGATGGGAAAATAAATTTTTGGACGATTGATTGCAAGACGTTTGAACGGGGGTACATAAGTATTTTTTAACTAATGTTTTTAACATGCATTTGAAATTAAGATGACCTTGTTTTCAAAAATTTGCATCACTTTTTATTGCATAGTTGTGAATTTTGATCTTCCTTTCTATGTTTCATCCTATCAATATCAAATTAATCACACATAGAAGAACTAGTCAATTTTGAGGACACATGAACACCCTGTCTGTCTCAAGGCTTGTGCAATCATTGCATGTAAACGAATAGTTGTGATTGAAGCGTGTTAAATGTTGATCTTTGTGGGGTGAAAGTGAGAAAAAATGCGAAATGACAACATGCAAGGAGAATAAAGTAAATCTAGAACACGTGACAGTGCTACACACACCTTCATTATGTATGCATTCAACCAACCATTATTCTATGTGCGTAATTGGATCTTCATTTTCGATAGTCACTTCAACTGAGTGGTAATAATTGTGCAACAATCGTTCACAAATTTACACTCGTGAATAATGCCATCGAAATGACATGGTATCATTGATTCCGTGTCACGAAAAGTTGTGGTTATCTAAAAAAAAAATAAAACCCAGGATATGCACAAGTACATCAATCACTAAAAAATACAAGCTCGTTTGACATATGATGCGATCGGAAATCATTCATCATTCCCAACCTAAACCGAACCGAATCCTGGAATTAGCTGGCTTTGATCAGATTCGATGCATGTGTGACTGATGACATTTTGATGTATAATCTGAAGAAATGCTCTTCTTTACCCGAAGTGTGTAACCTAAAATCTCAAAAGTGTTTACTTCTTTATTCATAACATGGTTTCTAAATTTTGCGGCGTTTTATGAGAAGGTTGATTCCTGCAAACTTTTGGATAATTTAAAATACATATTTACACTGTTAGTATATAGATAATAAAAATGTTCCTCACCGAAATGAGGTTTACAAGCAAGCAAGGTTTGAAAAACCGACGTCCATTTCATTTTCAACCATTGCCTAATTTATGCCTTGTTTTTTCCTCGTTTTGTTGACATTAGATAAGATTGAGACTTTTTTGAGAGACGGAGAGAAGAACAAGGTCAATATTGTGGACATGTGGAAATACGACGTAGTTGTACGTCAAGTGTATTCGTGTAAGTTTATAATGTGCCTTCTGTCGAGTTAGTTAAATTCGATTGTGTCGAACAAAGTAAGTAAATAAGTTGTAAAATAAGGAGACGCTGCACATCAAGAATCCCTCCAACTCATGTTTCACCACGTTAAAAACATAGTATGTACAATCGCTTTCAACATTGTTTCCCAAAAAAATATAACACAACCAAACTTTTGTGTGCCTTTTGTTGCACTCAACAGTAGCATGCATATGCAAATACATACATATGTGCATACATATATACATATACATGCATAAATATGCATACGTATGCATGCTCATTGCCTTTGCTTCAAACCCGAAACTTTACCCAAAAATAGATGAAAACATTTAACTGGTACATATGTATTTACATATGTTGGAGATGCAGTTTTACACACAAACGTACTATTGAACGTAACGTTTCTGTGTTTACGTTAAGGAAAATAAAATAAAATTGAATATTTTACATCAATGTCTCATTTTTAGGTGAATTTACTGAATAATAATAGAACAAAAACCCATTTTAAATATATTAGTAAACAACTCCTCGAAGTTTTACTTACTACGTGACCAGTTCAAATTTAGTTTTTTGCATAATTTATTCAGTTCTGATGATGCAAACAGAAGTTTAGTTCCTGAAATAAATTTGGTTTAGTATGAATGGTACGTATCTATAATTTTGTCATTTTTGCGCAATAAACTGATGAGAAACATGAGAATGTTTGTTTAATGAAAGTTAAAAATATTGACGATGATGAAATGCAGCACTGACCATTTCCGAAATATTTCACCATTCCACATGCGCACCCGTTACGTAATGTTCCCACTTGATGAGAGTGGCCGAAACCTGTTCGATTAAGGAACAAAGAAGCGTAAAGCCCTCCGATATTCCAGTAGTCGAAAAAGGGTTTTGGCATTGTTTCGCACCCCAGAAACCCATTAACGAAAATCCAACCAAAGTCCAGCCAGGTATGACACACTCGTATTTATTTAGTCGTAGTGTTACACACACAAACCTCGCTCCCCAGCAGCAGCAGCAAATGATTACTTATGTAACAGGTCGGGTTGTCAAAGTCGTCGTCGTCGCATTTGTCCACCCAACTTGTGCCCTGTTCAAACAAACGGCATGATATCTCCGCATCTCAAATTAGAATCACAATCGGTCAGCTTTTTTAACTTTCGGTTTAATACATTTCTGATATTTTTATTAAATTCCTTGACAAAAGGTTTGGATGAAGTCATAAAAGTGAGATTTTTTAACAGATCTCGAGAGGATTAAAAAGTTTCCCACGTTTAAGTGCATTTAGCGCTTTTAGAAGAAAGGAGAAGCCCTTTTTAGAAGAAATGATATAAAAATTGGCAATTGAGACTGACTTTTATTGAATCGTAAATTTCAAAATGTACTTGTGACGGTAATTAATTGTGGTGTCGGGAAATATTTACTGCAACTTTTAAGGCTTTTATGTAATTTTGGTCTCAAATGTAATATTTGGAGAGGGAGAAATTTAAGATGAATGGCTTGGCATTGATTCGCGAATATTACACATTAATACATATATTCGTATTAATGTGTGATGATATTCGTAGACTCAACATGTATTAAATAGATGATATAAATCATTTATGTACGTAAATCAGACAGAATAATGTATGTTATCAAATTACAGATACAAATTTCAAGTGTCTTATTGAACTCCGATACGACTATAGTGTTATGATTAGATAAGACAGCCTGCGTACTTAACATGCAGCACAGACTGATTGGCGACTATCCAGGGGAAATTGAGACAAATTAATTAAAAACTCAGACCTTGTTAAATATTATCATTCTTGATTACAACACATGAGTAATACGTAAGCATCTGGTGTACATGCACAGATTTCTACTTAATCTTGCATAAGATACAATTTTTGAGTAATTATGTAAATGAGTAGGTCAAAGTTTTGAAGAGTTTTTCAATTTGTTAAGCATTCGTCCAGCAGAATAAGTATGACATTGAGAGTTATATAAATAGTAATAATAACACTAACGTCCCAATAAAAGTTTCAAATTTCACCTCCGACGTTTAATCAAGACAGACAGTCGCATGACCACAATCTTCATTTGATAACATGACAATTAAAACTGTTTGTCCAGACAGGATCGAGACTTCCAAGAAATGGCGAGACATGGATTATTTATTTTCCTTGAACTCAGGTAATCTGACACCACCTTAATTATGACAGTTAATTTGCAACATACATAAGCAACTACACATTATAAATCAAACCCCGTGATAAATAAAACGTCATTCGCCATAAGAACACGTATATTGTACGGACTCATCATCATTATGCAAATTCCAATCGGCTTACTTGCCAAGAACCACAAAACCCGAATCGCAATCAAAAAACGTCCCGTATGCAACTTCGCATAACCCAACACCTGCAAATCTCAAAACAATTCAAGCAAACAAACAGTGACAAATGCCGTATGCAAATAAATCCTCTCCTGGCTCCATGCAGTCTCCTCGCCGTTCTGCACACACTTTTGGCCACGAATCAAAAACATTGCATATTTTTTATTGCCTGCTCATTTGTTATTTTTGTTTAAACATTATTTGCTAAACGTGTAGCTTCCGCAGTATTCATGGGACTTTTATGGGCCGTAAATTTATTATCGCAAAAAATATGATCCAAATGGAAATCGGATTGCTTTCAGATTATGCAAAAAAGTCGTGACCTAATTTAAAAATGGTAAATGGTGGAGTGACGACAGATTGGAAAACGTTGAGGTTTTTGTGCGATTTACTTTAATAAACTTGACTCAAATGATGTTATCTCACACACACGTCTCATTTCATGATATTCATCACTACAAATCACTCTATTTATGGAAATTATTTTTGTTTACACGACTTGACGTATGCGGAGGTGTGACCCGAATTGTGCATCGTAATCTGGTGGTTGCGTAATGAGTCAGGGAGCGTATTTGCATATCTGCATACTTAATAACCAGTCATAAAAGAGATAAAATATTTCAATCAATATCAATATTAGCTTTATTTCGTATAAGTTATATTTTATGTACAATAATGTTTGAAAGACATTTGGGTTGGAAAATATTGTTGTTAAGCTAGTAAAAATGTACAAAATTTACAAAGTTTGATTGTAGGTATATAAATATTGCTATTTTAAATATACTATGAGAGACAGTGTATAAATAGATATTCGCAATGGATCAGTTGATCGCCAAATTTTGAAGGGAGAAAATCGAAAGGAAAAATTTGAGATCTCGTTTCAAAATCACTTTGAGCTTTGATGAGCGTTGTAAAAAAACAACTTTTGTTTGAAATACACACAAATAACTGACTTTGCAAATTGAGCTAAAATAAAATTATGTATGTAAATTATAATTGTGTATGTATGTAAATGGCACAATAAAACTAAAACTAGTATTGACATCACATGCAACAAAAACCACTAGGAAAAGGTCGATCGTATAAACTGAATAAATATTTAAATTTGAAATATTAACAAATGAAAATGATGCATTAAGGGCAATTTCGCTTCACGAAGGCCAAACTGAGTCCCAAGAGGGTCAAGGGAATGGTGATTTTTAATGCAAATTCCAGTTTTATGTTGATTTGTGGGGTCGAGAGGAGGGGTGGCTGTCGGCTTCCTCCTCCGGCGGCATGACGGGTGCGACGAGGACGGGTCGAATCCTTTAAAGAGACAAAAAAGTTGGGTGGTTAGTTAGTAAGTGACTTTTGTTGCGAAAAAGGGTTCAAATATATTTTTTAGATTTGGTCGTAAAATTGCATCGTAAAATGTTTGCAAAAAGAAAAGGTTTGCGGATTGGTAATAAAATTTGGGTCATTTTAGTAATGGAAAGATAAACTTACTTGTGATCTGTCGTTCTCGAATTGGTCTGCAATCTCCCTCAGACCCTGTCCGATGCGTCTGTAGGCAACGTCGATGCCCATTTTGACATCGAGTGAAAGTCCGGAGGGATCAGAGTCAATGTCGGCCGGGGGGAGGAGCGATGGCAGTTGTGGGAGTGGTGGTGACCGCGGATGGCGTTGTCGCCCTTGTCGTCGTGGGGCTTGGGCGGGGGCGTTAAGAAGCTCATGATTTTCAGGTTGGGCGACGACCCGTTGGACTCGTTGTGCAGCTTGAACGTGGCAGCAGACGAGGTCGGGAAGTGGTTGGGATTGCTGTGAGGTGGAGGTTGTCTTGTTACCTGTGGAAAATAATGACAGGTTGGTAAAGATTGAGGTACATGTATAGTGAAGAAAACGTTTTAGAGTAATGAAGTCATCACTAAAACTGAAAGTCTGGGCTGGGATGGAAAACAAATGCGTAAAAAAATGAGAACTCTAATAAGTCACAGATTAGTCTGTTTGCGTTTCCAGTAATAAATATGGTCATCTAATTGGCCATATTGTTCTTAAAATTTATCTCTAAATAAGCTGACTCACTCTACTTGGGTGAAAGCAGTCTCACCTTCCCCAACTACCCTCATCATAATGTAGAAAACAAGACCTCTTAGAAATCTCAACTTACCTCCATTTCTCCTTCTCCTGGTAGCTCTCGTCCTACTGCTCCCACTTGTCCCGCAGTAAACTCCGACCAGCTCTTTGGCCAACTGTCCCAAAAAACTTGTCGTCCCACTTTCACAACTTTCTCCATCTTGGACTTCTCCATCTTCCCCCAAAACTTGGTCCTCTTCTTCCTCCTCGTTATAAAATGGGATCGCCATTAGTGCCAAAAGTCGCGATATTTTACTATTCAACTTAAAAAAGACTTGAATCTCTTTCTGTTTTTTATGCATTGATGAGTTCGGGGGTACAATTGAGCGATTTCTACTCCGTTTTCAGACTACTTCTCGCCGTCAACTCCAGGCACAGACTGAACAAGTGGCCGTGGTCGGAGTGAGTTTTATCGGGAGACGAGAGGGGATTGTGGCTTTCGTGGATTCAGTACAGGCAGGAAGGGAGAATCGGACTCATAACAACATACACAATCCACGTACACATAAATAAACCGGAGTCACCCCATCACCTACTAAAACCAATCCCAAGCAGGAATAAGGAAGCATAATAACACTGTTATTCACTACACTCGTCGGGTTAGCAGGCATACGTTTTTCTCATCACACGATTGTGCTCGACCGACGATGCTACCTGAGTCAGTGGGTACCTATTTATTGGAAGGCTTTTACTTACGGCTGACGAGTCCACACTGGACTTGATATTGTTTTATGTGATGTGATGTGCTATGACTTTTTATGGTGATATTATAAGGTAAAGATCGATAAACGTATTCGCATAAGTGCGTAAATGTAAGAGATGACTTATCACCCAAGTCGACTACTTGATGACTAATGCAATTTATGCCCAACTAGAAAAGTCGGCAGCTAACTAATCATCCCATCAGAGTCGATAACGCCTTATCATCATTGGATTGAATGATGATGCTTAAATTAAACTCTTCAGCCTTCCCTAATTCCCATGTCACAATCAATCAACCACATCACAGATTATAATCATCACCAGCAGCATCACCATGCAGCACTAAAACCCAAAATACTTTGCAGACGGGTTAAAAATAATGACGCTACAAAAACCGCCATATGGCGTGGGTGATGTGATGCCCAAAATTTTGCGGATATTGGTCATATCATCATCCTCCTCCAAATAAATAATCGTGCCAGGAGGAGGGGGAGGGTGCATTAAATAAAGAGTGAAAAAAACACCACGAATTAAAACAGATGCGAAACTTTGAAGTGTTTGGAACACTTGCGGGTGACCCCCGTCAAGCTTAAGGAGTGATTTGAATAATAAAATGTATACAAGTCAATTTGGGGTGATGACACTATAGAAATAGAAATATGGAGAGGAGGAGGTGTCATCGTTTTATGGCGTGTTTTTAGCCATGTGACACGTAATGGGAAAAGTGTGTAAAGAAGTAAATCCACCACTTTAAGTCAACGTCAGTCCAAATCTGAAATTCAAACAAAACAAATCCAACGTAAAAATCGAGCTTGCTTGCTCAAATAAGTGATGCCCACTTGTTGTCAGGTCCACCGTGTACTACTCGAAGCAGGAGAAGTAAGAAAAAAATGGTCTTTTGTGCTCATTTCCTCTCCACCACTTTCTTCTTCTCTAAACAAATGTAAATTGTCAGTGTAACTGAGCAAGTCTGATTTAAAGGGATGACAAAGAACCTTTTTCAGGGACTATTATAGTCGCTCCTGTCCTGACGCTGCGTCGTCGTTCGTTCCTCATTTTCATTTCGAGGTCAACCTTAACCCAACCAGGCCAAAGTTTTGTGTTTGTGACTCACTCACTCTCGAACAGAAATATAAATCTTTTTCATTTCATAAGTACATATTCTCCGTTAGAAGGACGTGTTAGTTACCATGCCGTTAGGTGCTTACAATCAAGATAAATACATATGAGCTTACTCACTCACCAACCTGGAGACAAGACCCATCAATATCGTCGTGAGACATAATATGTATGTAAATCAGCCACATTGCACCTCATTAAACACGACTTAGCCAACAAATTAATATTCTTCCAAGCCAGTAAATTAAATCTTAATTTAAATAAGAAATGGGCACCAATTGTCCAATTTTGTTTCACATGAGAACGAGAACGAGAAAGAGAGTGTTTAATCTGTTAAAAATTTAAATCTCGGAGTAAATAACGATTTAAAAAACCATGCTGAGAATAGGATTGGAAAAAAGGGGTCAATTTCTTTACAATTTGCATCCAAGTTTTATATATGTCATCGTTTCTTAAGGGACTGCTGAGCCGTGCATGATGTGATTCGAGTGGGCAATAACCTCTCATCTTTTCGACTAATCTGACGAGGAGAGCAAGTAGTGGTTACAAAAGTAAAGTCCGATTTCATTTACATATTAGACAAACCAGAGACCAACACGTATGTACATATGCAGATACGCATATGCACATGCACATGCACAGAGTTTATAAACTTGGCCAGATTTGTTGAGCCATAAAAAGTACGTAAGCTCTGTAAACTTTTACTCTCACCGTCCACCCCTCTTTTTGAGGGAGAGTGAAGGCGTCCGTGTAATTGTGTTGCGTCATGACGACGCAGTGCGAGGGAGGAGATGGATGTGGACAGGTGTTTATTATTATTTAATGAAAGTAATGGTTCCTTGAACTTGTCCAGTTTGTGCTGTGGTTTACCCTGAGCTTGTTTTACATAATGATAATTTCGAACAAAGTTCAAACTGTGGCAAGTATACACGTTGTAGTTCAGCCAGAGACAGCAGCCTCCATTGTGTAGGAAGTAAAAAGTAACCTGCTTTGTATGCAACACGTGAAGAGAGGGGACAAAAAATTGGACTTTTCTTTAGTTGGCTCCTAACGTGTGCATCAATTGAGTTGATTGTACCTCTGATTGAGTGTAATAAAGTAGAGGGCAAAAACTTGTAGATTAAGGATATTAACTTTTGCGTATGTTGGGCTCTTTTCCAAGAAAGAAGATGGTTTCAGGTTGGAAAGGAGATAATTAAGTGCAATTGTAGGCATAGGGTTTTAATGGGGATCATTTGGATGTAAAGTTGGACCAGATTGTGTTATTAGGGATATCTTGATTTTGTTTGAATTGAGGCATGAATTTATTTATTGCGCAGTTAGTTGTGTAATAGTTGCATTAAAAAGTCAAAGAGATCAAATTGAATTTGGGGAAGGGATACGTAAGTTTGTGTAAAATGTATGTATGTACCTGCCTAATTTGATTGGACATCTTTATGATGTGTAAATAGATTTTGGAGCATGATAAGAATTTTGGAAATTTGATTTTAAATTGTAATCTATTTAGTTTCCGGTCTGTACATAATATTTAATAGGAACTTGACTTTGAACGAAAGTAAATTAATTTTCAATAAAAGATTTTGCATGTAAGAAGCATGAAGTATGGTTGAAAGTATAAAATATACTGAAAGTAACCCACGCAATAGGGAGGTAGGTACAAAAAAGGTCGATATTTTATACGCTATTGCAACCCTTTTAAGTAAGTAGATTTCGTAATTCAATTAACCTTTCACTTTCTTAACTTTGTTTCGAAAATGTAATTCGATGCACTCACTGAAATTATTGTCTACTGAAGAATACGATGTTCTATAACATAAAGTCAATGATCTTTCCACAGAATCAGGGCTTTTCTCAATAAAAAGAATAATAGGATCAGGACAAATCTGCATGATTTCTGAAACTCAAATCTTACCAATTACTAAATGCAACTGCCTTAAGGAGGAGGAACATACATAAATACATACATACGCTTGCCATATTTAATATGAGAGGAGATAAGACGAGACCCCCAAAGCTAGCCACTTGAACAATTCAGATTTCTGCCTTCATGCTCATCTCATTATAAACCAGCGATGAATGTAATTACACAATAAGGCACATTCGAGATGATCATTATACCCCACTCGCTGCTTGTATACGTACGTACCATTTTGAGGGCATCAGTTTAATACCATTTGCTTGGATGAGGTCTGAATTGCATCCGTCACTCATCATCATCCACTTGAGGTCTGCCTCTGCCCTTCTCCAAATCCAGATTCAGATCCATCCAGGTTGTTATCTGTCAGTCTCATTTTGCTACTTTTATTAATATGAAAATGTATTCATCTCCTCCGATCCGACCACTTTCTTTCTTTCTCCCCTTCTTGTTTGTTTGCTGAACTGATCTAGATGAGTACATCTCGTTCGTCAAGTATCTTATCACATCGTCAAGATTTGCATAATAATGTAATATGGGGTTAGCTTCGTTGTCTGCATGACTTCATTCGAATGAATTGACTCGCTTATTGCTCCCGGCTCGTGAAATGAAATGAATTCTATTAGTGAAACAGTTGTAAAATTTCTGGGAATATTTTTACCATTATTCAAACCCAGTGAAGAGAGAAATGGTAAATTTCTAATGATGCAATTTGTTAGCGAATCATCGTCTTGACTGGATTTCAGATTTTTCAATCTTGAACTTTCAGTGGATTGAATTTTCAAACAGTTTTTGGATTTTGAAACAAATTCTTTCAGAATCTTTCCGGTCAACCATGATTATTTCTGAGAACAACTGATTTCTCTAGTCAGGAGAAATATCTCAGATTTTACAACCCCCTCATAAACCACACACGCGAAATAATCATGAATTTACAAGAAATCTTTACAGAAAATAAGAACCTGGAGACTTGCTTATTTTCAAAAACTTATTATTTTCCAGGGTAACCATAAAAGTGTCAATATTGTGATGGCAAGATTTTCTTCTGTGTGTCGGGATCCCTGAAAAATTGAGCCGTCCCAAAACCGTTCATTGTTTAGCAAAGAGAGGAGAAACCCTTGTCTTCCTTGTCATCATGGCAACAACAAGAATCGAGTTGTAAAAGTTTTCGAAAATACTGGTGCGTCGCTAATGGAGATATTGTTTGACGGTGTGAAGCGATATTTTGCTTTGATGGGCAGTTTGGTTGCCAAGGAGATGAATTCCGTTTTAATAATTTATTTAGTACAATTTTTCAATCTCGACAATAAGACAATTTTTCATGGAACAAAACGACCACCAAAAAGTCACCCCTCATTACAGCTGTCAATTCCATTATCCAAAATAAATCGACGACACGGTTTTTTACGAATAAAAAAATCAGACAAAATCCGAGAGGGTCGAATTGCGCAGGAAAAGGAAATTGATTTTGTTTCAGAGCTTCGAAATCTCACTTTGTCCTTGTCTACTTTTTCGTGGGTACTGAATAGCAAAATTAATAGGAGGTCGTTTAACAGTTGTGTTTTGTTAACGACTCATCCGTTCCCAGGGAGATGCGATTGCGATCCTTGATTTCACAACTATTTCATTTTATGACAGAATTTTATTAGCATTGCGAATTAGTTTGTTGGCAAATGATTAAATTGGCAATGTTGTGAAATTTGATACATACAAAGTTTAACGGTTGCGAAATGCAGTTTGTTAGGAAATATGATATTTTGTAAGCGAAGTTAATCAATAAAAATTGTTGGACACAACTGGACAAAGTTTCTCATTCACCTTTATTTGTTATGTTTGTCATTTTTAGACCGAGAAACCGGTCTGTTCATGAATGGGGGTTAGTTAGTGGTGGTAATGATTGCGTAATTCTGGTGGTAGTAATATTTTGGTTTGTAAATGCTTTTGTAAATACAGTGAGATTTAGCGGTGGGAATATTTGCAAAAGATTTATTAGCATAGTGCAGATTTTTGAAGGAGTGAATTTTGTGTACAAAGTATTTAAGTGTTGCGTAAATTGAATTTAGGGACTTTTTACGATTTCGAGTAGTTTTTTTAGAGGTATTACGTATTACAGCCAAAAAGGGAAAGTCATGAAGTAATCAAATTGCATGCCACGGTGAAATGAAATATATTTCTATGTATATCAACTGCATCTGATTATGCGATTAAATCTTCTGTCCTCTCGTGCCAGATGGTATATTAAGTACGAATATGTATTGCATTTATCCCAATTTTTAACTATGCAGTTTACTTACTCGCTTTTAACCTGTTTTATGACACATATATTTGCTACATATAGTTTTAAATATTTTGAGTGCATTTACCAGTTATTTAGCAGAATTTAATCATAAAGTATATCACATTCTATTTTGGGATAGATTAGAATTCGTTCTACATTTCCTGCCAGTTTACGCAACAGATGGGTTTGTTGAGGTGGATTAATTTGACGTTTTAACTTTTATTTGAAGGAAGGGTGCTGAATAATAATGCTTTCTAAACGTCAAAAGGGTGACTCGTCGGATCGCATTGTGTTCCTAATCCTGGAACATGATGCGTATACACAACGCTTACATATGTACATAGTGCAAATTTTAAATTTTGCAAACTACAAATTCGTCACAGTAACAAAAATGTGCAGAAATAATTGCGCGAATTCAAAAATTGCACCCATTAAAAATGAACAAGCTTTTACTGGTCACATGCACATACATACATATAAAATTGCGTAATCCATTGTCATTGCCGTCATTACGAAACATGACATAAATAAAAAGGGACATGAGCGTCGTCGCAGCCGAGAAAGAAAAGTGGTTTATCATCGGACAGCTTCAACAGGTCCAGATCATTTTTATTACACAGGTGCAGCCCAACAAGTAAGTAAAGAACCGTCGACATGACAATGCTCTTATTCATCCTCGGGTAGCAACACTACCAAATCTTTAAAACAGTGCACTCTTCAAGTTCATAAAAAACATAAAAAAGTAGGAAAAAAATCCAGGCAACGTATTCATCTTTCGTGAAACGTTGCCTGAACTGAAAGAATAAACAGAGAAAAAAAGTCTCCAATTTCTCAAATACAACCCTTCCCTCGAAATCGTCGTCTCTTATTCTTCTCCTCTTTTAAGAGAGGTGCGTACACATACACCACACCATAAAAGAAATAAAACACTTGCGAGCAGTAGAAGCCACCACTTTTTTCGAGCACCTGCTGCGCCTTGTCTTGATTTGGAGAGGAAAAAACCATTCTATTCTCTTCCCAGAAGAAATCAATCAAATCAAATCAAATTAATCCGAGGAAATCAATGGAATCAATTTATTAGAGAAATCGCAACAAAAAATCACCGCATTACGGAAAAAGTCATACCCATCTGTCAAAGTCAACCCCACCAAGTGACGATTGTCGCTACTTTATAACAATTCCACTCCAATACCCCCACCGACACATCTGCCAGGAAATGTCGGATATAACCCCCACTGGATGTGGTGATGCAGAAATAGAGATGATGGACATTATGCAAATTAAGATTTGTGCATCTTTGCAGAAAAACGGGGTTTATTGCCTTCCATCTGAAAATTTGTATGTTTAAGATAGAGGAACCTGTTGTAAAAAATAAGGAAAATATTAGTCTTACATATGCGACGCACTATCTATTTATAGCCAAAAACTGCATATCTATATCCACACAAAATTAGCCCCATTTTACCGAGTCTCGTTTACCCAAAGGATTAAAAAGGTTTCCTTGTCTTACTCACGTTATAATTAGAACTCGTATAAGGAAACGTGTCATGAAAAAAAAGAAAATGTGCATATAAATCAAGGGATCACTTCATGCTCAGTGTTCTCTTCTTCTCGCTTGACTTATTCTTTATCCTCCCACAAGTTAAAGGTCAGCTCACAAAAGGCACAATTTTTTTGTGGGATTGTTCTTCACGTGTCGAATGTAAATGAGGTCTACTGACTGCTTGATGGTCGTCATCGTCTCAACTTCTGTGAGTCTTCTGCTGCTTGTATAATTTTTGGGGAGTGCGTGCTCATTATAACTTTGTCCGACATCATATTACACATTACAGACAAAAAAGAGGGGCACGATAAATAAAACAGTACGCTGCATGCACCGTAACCATCATCAGGTCTGTTGCTGGGCCTGGACAAGTTCAAGGAACGATCATCATAATCTCGGCAGCACCACAAAAACCTGTCGTCCACATCCACCCTCGCATCGCCTGTGCATAAAAGCAATTACAGCCACCAACCACACGGACCACTCCATTCGTTCAGGGGTGGACGGTTAGAGTAAAAGTTTACACAGTTTTTTAGTAGCTTTTTACGAGATGAAATCTGGTTTAAGTTGTCTTGTTGGTTGGCCTTGGCTGAGTTTTTTTGTCCTCCTGCCTAGCTGCGCCTGGGTTTAATGGGTTTTGTGTGTGGAGAGAGAGAGAGATTATAAATTGAGACGGGGATGACATGGCGAGAGTTGAGATGAGATGAGGTTGTTGCCCAGCTTAATAATCGGTAAGTAAGTAAGACCAGTAGCTGAGATGATGAGGAGTTTTTATTATTCCGTATTTTTTATTTGTAGAGATACATAAATGCAAATGTGATGTCAGTAATAATACTGACCCCTTTTCCCAATCGGGTTCTCAGCATGGTTTAAATTGCGATTTAAATTTTGGGCGATTATTTACTTGTTTGTTATGTAAAATTGGGATGGTTTGTGGGGAAAAGGGTTTATTAATTTGTTATTTATTAGGTTGTGTTTAATGAGGTGGATTTAGCGAGATTTGCATAAAAGTGGGCAACCGTTGGTGGGAATATTGCTTCTTGATGGAGTTGTAAGTATTTAGCAGTGAGGACATTGTTGTTAGTCGGACAAAGGTAAAATCTATTACGGAAGGATGAAAATCATATTCATATTCATCCGCTCGGCTGGATGTGCTGAAGTTGATGGAAATTTACATTTGTTTAGAGAATGAGACAGGGAAGAGAGATCGATATCGGGGGAAGAAAGTTACAGGTTTTTTTAACCACGTGGTGGTGGTGGATTTTTATGGTGGATGTAGAAAGGAGAAGAAGGGGGCAAGTGGTGGAGGGGATGGAGATGTGTGTCCGTTAAGACGACGAGCGAGATTATGAATATAATACAGAATCTGTTTGCATTCGAGATTTTAAGTTTATTTGGTTAATGGATTAAAGTAAATTTGAGATGTGAATATTAATCTAGGAGGAAAATAAGTGGCGGAGAAAATTCATAATTTCCTTAAAGTACTTATTGACACACAGTTCTAAATCGTCACGTAATAGCGACACTCTTAATTTACACACTTCTCCCATTACGAGACACACTTGGGAAGACACGCTATAAAACGATGACACCTCCCCGATCAAATGGATGCATCGATTTCATTACTATTCAAATCGGCGACTGAGGGGGTCAAGCTATCAACTCATTAAAATTGCGCATCTGGATGAATAGCCGGCTTTTAATGTTTCACCCCACGCGTGGCACGTTCCATATTTTTGAAATCCGCGAAAATTCACTGACGCCATATGGCACGGGGCTGCCTTGTGGGGGAAGGAGTGACATTTGTCAGTGGTTTGGTTAAAGCGTCAGGTTGGACCAGCCTGGCGTTGGTGTTTTAGCGGTGGCGATAATATCTTTGATCCGGTTGATTGATTGTGATATGGAAATTGAGGGAAAGTTGAAGAGTGGAAGGGTCAAAAATACGGTTGCATTTATTATGAGTCACCTCCACGATTACCTGTTTTGTCTACGCATCGAGCATTATTATGCATCCGACGAACAACAACTGAACCGTGGAGGGAGGATCATCGCACCTCTTCTCACTTGTAACACTTTTGCTTAATGCACAAAATCAAGTCCAGCCAGAGAGAAGAAGAAGACCTAACTGCATGACATCTCATTTCGTGTTAGGGGGCATTTTGTACGGCCAGAAGCTGCACAAGTAGAAGTGAGTTCAAATGAAAACGTATGCCGTGTTTTAAAATGATGTGCAACTCTGAGCTTCCTTATTCCTGGTTTGGTTAGGTTTGGTTGTTGGAGTGGCTATCCAGTTTATTTGTGTGCATGTTGTGCCACCGAGTTGGTTTGGTTGGTTGGGTGTTTTGTGTCCCCTTCCCTCTCGGTCTGTACTTTTACAGTAGATTGTCAATACGTACGTATGTAGATACATACGCAACCAACAAAGGCGACTCGTCTCTCCCGATAAAACCCACTCCGACCACGGCCACTTGTTCAGTTCGTGCCTGGAGTTGAGATTGTGAGGATAGCGATATTTCAGTCAGAGAGATAAAGGTGACGCAACAACGTGGCGCATTGATATATAAATATAGTTGACTTGTACCAATGCATAACCCAGGCAAAGAGATACAACTCCATTTTAAGTTGAATAGCAAAATATCGCGACTTTTGGCACTAATGGCGATCCCATTTTATAACGAGGAGGAAGAAGAGGACCAAGTTTTGGGGGAAGATGGGGAAGTCCAAGATGGAGAAAGTTGTGAAAGTGGGACGACAAGTTTTTTGGGACAGTTGGCCAAAGAGCTGGTCGGAGTTTACTGCGGGACAAGTGGGAGCAGTAGGACGAGAGCTACCAGGAGAAGGAGAAATGGAGGTAAGTTGAGATTTCTAAGAGGTCTTGTTTTCTATACGGAGTATTTAGGATGAGGGTAGTTGGGGAAAGTGAGATTACTTTTACCCCACCTTGATTGAGTAAGCTTAGAAGTAAATTTCTATAGAATTGGTTTGTCCGGGTAGGTAGATACTCACGTTGGTTTCTTAGGAAAAAGAACAGTGTACATGCATGTGATGACATGCAACGATTAAGTTTCTCATTGTCTTTACTTTGTCTCGACGTTTTCTTAGAGTTATTGACTTAAAAATACGTTGCATCTCAACAAAAACTAACGCGTCATTATTTTCCACAGGTAACAAGACAACCTCCACCTCACAGCAATCCCAACCACTTCCCGACCTCGTCTGCTGCCACGTTCAAGCTGCACAACGAGTCCAACGGGTCGTCGCCCAACCTGAAAATCATGAGCTTCTTAACGCCCCCGCCCAAGCCCCACGACGACAAGGGCGACAACGCCATCCGCGGTCACCACCACTCCCACAATTGCCGTCGCTCCTCCCCCCGGCCGACATTGACTCTGATCCCTCCGGACTTTCACTCGATGTCAAAATGGGCATCGACGTTGCCTACAGACGCATCGGACAAGATCTGAGGGAGATTGCGGACCAATTCGAGAATGACAGATCACAAGTAAGTTTACTTTCCATTATGAAAATGACCCAAATTTTATTACCAATCCGCAAACCTTTTCTTTTTGGCAAACGTTTTACGATGCAATTTTACGACCAAATCTAAAAAAAATATATTTGAACCCTTTTCGCAACAAAAGTCACTTACTAACTAACCACCCAACTTTAATGTCTCTTTAAAGGATTCGACCCGTCCTCGTCGCACCCGTCATGCCGCCGGAGGAGGAAGCCGACAGCCACCCCTCCTCTCGACCCCACAAATCAACATAAAACTGGAATTTGCATTAAAAATCACCATTCCCTTGACCCTCTTGGGACTCAGTTTGGCCTTCGTGAAGCGAAATTGCCCTTAATGCATCATTTTCATTTGTTAATATTTCAAATTTAAATATTTATTCAGTTTATACGATCGACCTTTTCCTAGTGGTTTTTGTTGCATGTGATGTCAATACTAGTTTTAGTTTTATTTGTGCCATTCGCTTGTTTATGTTAGTTCAATTTGCAAAGTCAGTTATTATATTTATGCATATTTCAAAAACAAAATGTTTTTATTAAACAAAAACGTTCATCAAAGCTCAACGTGATTTGAAACGAGATCTCAAATTTCCCTTTCACCAGTGTAATTTTGAAATAATTACATTTCTCAAAATTTTCTCTTGCCTCGATCAAAAACTTGCAGAACATCTATTTAAACATATATTTATAAAGCTAGCAATACTTGATACAATCAAATCTGTAAAAATTTGTACATTATAATAATTTTGATAACACTTTGATTAGTGATTATTGATATCCAACATGTCTTTCAAGAATTGTATATATTTAAATAAATATTTATAATGAATAAATGAAATTAATACATGAAATTAATTTTATGTCCAGATTTGCAAATACGTGACTCATATCGCATTTGAAAGATTGCATACTTTTAGTTTTTTTATTGAATTTAGGTCAAGCTTTAACTCATCAATTGATAAGTATAAACAAAAACAAGCCATAAATAGAGTGATTGCAAAGACGAGTGTGTGAGATAACAGCATTTGAGTCAAGTTTAGATATTAAACTGAATCGCACAAAAAAGTCAACGTTTTCCAATCTGTCATCACTCCAACAGTTTTAATTAGGTCACTCTTTTTTGCATAATTTAAAAGCAATCCGATTCGCGTTTGGATTGCATCATACTTTTTGCGATAACAAATTTAATGACCCGTTAAAGTGGAATGAATACTGCGGAAGCTACACCTTTGGCAAATAATGTTTAAACAAGAGCAACAAATGAGAAGGGCATAAAAAATAAATATGCGATGTTTTTGATTCGTGGCCAAAATTGTGTGCGGAATGGCGAGTAGACTGCATGGAGCCAGGCAGAGAGTTTATTTGCATAAGGCATTTGTCACTGTGTTTGCTTTAATTGTTTTTGGAGATTTGTAGGTGTTGAGTAATGATAAGTAGTTGCATGACGCTATTTTTACTCATGTTTAATGATAATTTTGGTCAAACTCTGTGTAAACTAAGTCGATTGGAATTTTGTATGATGATTGATGCCACATACATGATAACAGCAGACGTATGTACATACATGTGCATATGCATTTATGCCCATGTCTTTGCTTTGCGAATTACGTATGTACCTGTGACTTTGCCCACTATTTAGTGTTTTCATGAAGGGGATCAATGACGTCCAGTTTCATACTATGCAAAATGAATAAGTCTGGAATATCAATTGTCTATTTATAAATCCGTAGGTGAAAATTCCCATGTCGCATTTTGTTATTGAAATCAGCCATCTTGTCTGGAAGCATTTTTAATTATCTTATAAAAAACTACAACCCGATACCTGTATGTCTTCATAAAACGTCAGAGTGGAAATTTGAAACTTTTATAAACTTTACGTTTTAGCACTATAAATAGCATCCATACATTTATTCTGTATAACACACTGGATAAGTGTTGTAACTTGTTATGAACCATTGCAATATGTGTACCTAAATGCAAAATATATTGAGGTAGGTATTTAAATACCTCTGATTATTTATACAGGATGTATATTTAACTTGAGGTGAGCTAACACAAAATACTATTGAGAAAGGTCTGAGTTACATAAAACTGACGCATTTCCTATGAATTGAAAAGCTATGGAGTGGCATTGGCTTAGCATTTTTATCATAGTTGTCTGCTAACTTGAAATTTGTACTTGTTATTCGATCGTGGATATTATGCTGTCTGATTAAGATTACTTCTCTCTATTTGGTAACTAAAATTTCTCATCGTATTGTGAGAAACGGCCAACATTTGAGACATACTGGTATTTAATGTCTTATATTGACTCTAAATCACCACAATTAATTACCGTCACAAGTACATTTTGAAATTTACGATTCAATAAAAGTCAGTCTCAATTGCCAATTTTTATATCATTTCTTCTAAAAAGGGCTTCTCCTTTCTTCTAAAAGCGCTAAATGCACTTAAACGTGGGAAACTTTTTAATCCTCTCGAGATCTGTTAAAAAATCTCACTTTTATGACTTCATCCAAACCTTTTGTCAAGGAATTTAATAAAAATATCAGAAATGTATTAAACCGAAAGTTAAAAAAGCTGACCGATTGTGATTCTAATTTGAGATGCGGAGATATCATGCCGTTTGTTTGAACAGGGCACAAGTTGGGTGGACAAATGCGACGACGACGACTTTGACAACCCGACCTGTTACATAAGTAATCATTTGCTGCTGCTGCTGGGGAGCGAGGTTTGTGTGTGTAACACTACGACTAAATAAATACGAGTGTGTCATACCTGGCTGGACTTTGGTTGGATTTTCGTTAATGGGTTTCTGGGGTGCGAAACAATGCCAAAACCCTTTTTCGACTACTGGAATATCGGAGGGCTTTACGCTTCTTTGTTCCTTAATCGAACAGGTTTCGGCCACTCTCATCAAGTGGGAACATTACGTAACGGGTGCGCATGTGGAATGGTGAAATATTTCGGAAATGGTCAGTGCTGCATTTCATCATCGTCAATATTTTTAACTTTCATTAAACAAACATTCTCATGTTTCTCATCAGTTTATTGCGCAAAAATGACAAAATTATAGATTCACATCAAATAAAAAATTGCTAGATGTTTTATTTTTACTAAATTCAAGTCATTCCAAGAACCAATGTTCTGTTTGTTTCATCAGGAGGAAGGAATAGGGGTTGTGAATAACAGCATTCAAACTGGTCAAGTAGCAGGGAAAACTGGGCGCAACCGTCTTGTTTCGTGTTATATACTAATCTGTAAACTCATATAAAATGAGACAACGATAGTAAAATAAATTTTCATTTTCTGTAATTCTATTTTAGACTTCGTAAAAAAATTCATAAACGTTATGTACAAAAATAATTATGCTCGATTTGCATATATATTTAACGGTGCATCCTTACCTGCATAAATGTTTATACGTAGGTATCTATTTTGAGGTAGAGTTTCGAACTTGATGCAAAGGTAATGACGTATGTAGTACCTACATATGTACTTATTTATATTAACATGTGCACACATATGTGTAAACGCATATGTACATACATATGTACACAAGTTAATATTGAGTGCAACAGATAAACGCATTTATGTACTATGTACGTTGATTGTGTTATACATATTTTTGGAAAACAATGTTGAAAGCGATTGCGTTTGGGTTTTAAAACGTGGCGAGACATGGTTGGAGGGATTCTTGATGTGCAGCGTCTCCGTATTTTACAACTTATTTACTTACTTTGTTCGACACAATCGAGTGTAACTAACTCGACAGAAGTCACATTACATATAGGTATATGACTTACCCATAAGTATATGCATGTATGTACACATATTCATCTCACATTTTACGTACAACTACGTCGTATTTCCACATGTCCACAATATTGACCTTGTTCTTCTCTCCGGGTCTCAAAAAGTCTCAATCTTATCTAATGAAAACAGACACTGAACAAAACAAGGCATCGATTCAGTGGTTTAAGGTCATGGAAAAGTCTGCTCTTTAACTGTTGCTCTGTTGTAAATTTAGGCAAGAACGTATTTATTGATTTATTGAGATGAGTACTGTTTCTTTTATCGGTAGGTTTTAATAGCATAAATAATCTAAAGCTCTTCCGAGTTCGCTTTTAAGTATAAAGAACACATTCCACTTCTTTTTTATATGACGATAAAAAATCGTCATAAATATGCTACGACAAACTTTCCCTTTATAATTGAAATAAAAGAGACGACTTTAGAAATTAAACTGTTTTTCTTAACATAAAAGCAATAATTTTACTTATGCAGTAACCCGGTAACAATTTATTAAAGTGGGCATGAAAGTAAGTCAGCTTAATTTACTGGACGTGATTCAGCCTTTCAAATTATCAATTGGACTTCAATTAAATACCTAATTTTGTAAAAAAAAAAATAAAGATAATATCCGAGTTTTTGACGTAATTTGTAAATGATTACTAATGGACTAAACAAGTTCATTGAAATATCTAGGAAACTAATTTTTACCAATATGTATATAAATATACGTAGAAAACGAAGATAAATCTGCTCATACCCCCTGGTAAATATTTGAAAGGTAAAAATTTCGGTGACAGTGGATTTTTGATTCGTCGTCAAATGCAAATATTTAATACTTACTCCGCATTCAAATACGAAAATGCTGTCTTCTCTGTTGAACAGCAAGTCGCCTGTGGGAAAGACAAACATTAATCCATCAAAAAATCACTCCACCGGATAAAAATTCACGCCAATGACAGACAATGCAACATGCATGTACATATTAACCGGCCGAACAGTCTTAACACCACTCGTTAGAGTAAATACGCAATCTCCATAACGTTTGTCACCCTGTCGTCGACTCTCTGGTGTGACCAGCCGTCTAAATAAAAGAATCTAAATCGCCGATCTATTGCATACACCCGGTTCGGTTTAAAAATCCATCTAATCCTTTTTGAAACACTGTGACAATTCTTAAAAACCACACTGGTGAAAGGGTCACATCCGATTTGATCAAAATCAATCATCGTAAAGTATCCTGATTTCCGTAATTTGCATAAAGTCATTTACATCAATAAGAACAAGTGTGCTTTTGCCGGTTTGAACAATTCCTCTCGTCTCCAATATCGTTTCTAAAATAACTCTAATAGTTTTCCTACTTTTTTAATTTGCCTTGAAGTCGCATAAGCTTTTAAAGAATTTGGAAGTCAGTGGAGTGTGAACGTTTTTGAGATCATATCTCTGATCGGTATTGCTTACATCATTACTACACAAATGCACATGTACACATGCGTATATGTACATATGTTTCATGTATGTATTTAAGTATGTAGATACGTACAATTCACAGGCATTGTAGTGCCGGTATATGACTTACTTCTTGTCTCACAATTGTTCTCACTTTCTCCACCAACATAAATATTCAACCCACTTCAACCATGCTTCAGGAATTACAGCAGGTTACTAAATGCTCTCATGTCACTGATACATATTAGCATCTCCAAAACAGGATAAAATAATATGCAGAAGTTAAGATATAAACTATTGTTTCACCGATCAAAATTTTAGTTTTTTTCCTAATTGCTTTCTAAGTGATTGAAAACCCTTGGGTCAAGCTCTTATGATTTTAAGCTAAATTAGCTGTGCACATATGTATGTATTAATATCGTATAAATACTGTAACACATTGATGATGATCTTGTCAATCAATAAATGATTTCAATTATTTATTATGACCGATTGTTCGACAAGTACTTACACAGATTAGATTTATTTATCCTACTAATACATAATACTTCTACACATGCCATTTATCATGCCATCCAACATACATACGTATATACATGCGTGAACAAGTTACATAATTACACACGACATTGTAACTACGTTGATATGATAATTTTTGACTCAATTGAAAAAATAACTGATACTAATGACTAGTGTACGCATATCACAATTCTAAGAACAACATCCGATTATAAATCGAACGATACTTTTGAGGTAAACAAACCTAATTATGTTTACATAATAAGATAACAGATCAGATCGAATGTTATTAAATATGCAACCCATCCTCGGAGCTATGGTGCTAATCATCTCGTACGTCGAATGAAATCCTAGAAATCCAAAAAATCCGAGATAATATGACCGTGTGATTTGTTTACAATGCGGTACGACGAAGTCTGTTAGTATTTAAAGGCACGGGAACAGGTTATTTTACATCTAGACCAACAGTGACAGCATTTGAATCGACAATGTCTCCTAATCAAGTTTTTATGGCTGGTAACGAAATATGTGAGTCTAATAACTTGTCAATTTCACGCCAACCAAAAAAGTTGGAAATCCTTTACCAAAATTATTACTACGATGTGACCGACTTTATCCGAAAGCATCCCGGTGGGAGTGTGATTCTCTACTACACCGAAAAAGGGGAAGACGCCACCCATGCAATTCAACAGTTTCACAATCGCTCCATGAAAAAGATTGCGCTGATGCTGAAGTCATTTAAGAGAAGACCTGCCAATGAAATTAGTAATAATTTCATACTTGACTATTTCATAGCATTATTTAAATTCTGATATGTAAATACGCAGAAAATGTAAGCATGACGGACCACGAGGTAGCAATACAAACAAAGAATCGTGCCCTCACCAAAGATTTTGCCCAACTATTTCTCGATGCTGAAAAGGAAGGATTATTCAAGCCATGTTATTGGAGAATCGCATGGGGAATTTTTGAGCCGATTTTATTCTGGTATTTATCCTACCAATTGATCTTCTCATCAAACATTTTTCTGAAGATTCTTGGCTGTATTTTCAACGCCCTTGGCTCCGGTCGAGCCGGATATACGATGCATGAAGGTGGACACCAATCCCTGACTGGAAAGCCCAATGTGGACAGGACGATTCGTAATTTGCTGTGGGGTACGTAAATAAATTAGTGTACACAATTTCATTTTTTGGTCAGTTTTGACCTTTCGAAATGAATTTCAGGAAGTTTTTGGGGTTTATCTGGCTGGTGGTGGACTCGAACGCATACGAAGCATCACGCAATGCCGCAGCGTCTCGAGCACGACCAAGACTTGGAAACGTTGCCATTTCTTCTCTATAATTCTAAAATCGCAAAGGACCCCAAGCAAGCAAACTCTTTCTTTGTTTTGAACCAGGTATTACAAAAATATATGTTATTTCTTAATTTGGGATTTAATTCCATATATTTTTTATGTAATCAGAGTTGGCTCTACTTGACTTTTCACTGTGCAATGTGCAACCTGATATGGGTGATAAACAGTTGTCCCATGTTCATGATTAAGCAAAGGGACTATTTCGGCTTTGCTGTAACAGCAATACATTGGGGCCTTAATTACATCATGATACCCGACCTGCCCAGTTTGATCTTCATATTTTGGATGAGATCGACCTACATTATTGGAAATTTTGCTCTGGCACATTCACATCGTCCAGTCACGGGAGAACCGACGCATTGGGTGGAGTACGCGTTAACGCATACGGCCAATATTCATCCTAGTTTGATCGTGGATTGGTGGACAGGATATTTAAATCTTCACATCGAACATCACTTGTTTCCAACGATGCCAGAATTTCGATTACACATGGTGCAAGACAGGGTGAAAGCGTTGGCGGAGAAACATGGCCTCCCGTATGAAATTGATTACTACTTTGAATCTTGGAATAAGACTATTCAGAATTTTAAGAAGGTTGCGGAAGAAATTAGAAGTTCTACGTAAAGGTTTGAATACTATTTTGTGACCAATTCGATTTCTTACAAATTTGTATCTTCACAAATGTGCTTTTCTTTCTGAAAGAAAATACTCGGTGAATAAAACATAATTGAGATGCAAGTATGTGTACGTATGTATCATTTTATGTGCGACCGTGCCAGATGTAAATGACCATTTGGAGCAGCATGATGACGAAGAGAAAGCAATTGGGTGAGATAATAGGGATGGATTAAAGACAATAAAGTCCTCGTAATAGTAAGAAGTACTCGCTTAACTGCTCAGGGGTAACCTCTCCAGGCATAAAATTGTCATAGGGAAAGATATCAATTTGATTCGTTGGGAAGTTTTTATGGAGAATTTATTTTCAATCATTTAGACGACTTGGATAGTTATTTGTAGCGTTAAAAGTTTTAGTCCTGATGTTGTGAAAAAAAAAGATTTACGTTTTTATACCGGACAGAATTAACATGGTTTAGCCATTTCTGAGAAATTTAAGAAAAATACCATCCAATTTGTTCGTATCTCAGTTTTAGTTTCATTTAACCTTTCCTTTGTTGGGATGTGGTTGTTATACATATGCATGTGATTTCTAAAAATGAGTCTCATTTTATCTGTCCAGTCAAAACACTGCAAAATATTTATTGATACAGTTCACCCTTGTCGCACAACCGTCGCCAAATACATTTTTCACAATCTCGTACACAGTCCTAAAATCGAATGACACTCATTCATCCAATCACTTCACCCTTAATGTCATCATATAAGCTTTGGCTACTACGTGTACCTTCGACTAAATCAAATTACATCATTTGGCTATCCACTCGTCTTGTCTCTTATCTCGTGGAGAGTAAAGCGCATCTTAATTTAACGAGTGACATAAAACGGAGTGGACACGGTTTTCTCGCTTTGCGTATTTCGTCCTTTATTGTCCCACAGTCGTTAATGTCCAGACCAAATTGGGTCTGAATGAAACTTATACATGCGTTAAGATTTAACTATGAGATACAGACTAATAGATGGAAGAGAATTATAAAATCTTGGATGAGAAGTCTCATCATCAAACTAGCTGAAGTTTGATACCAGATAAACGTTTCTTTGAAATTGAGAAAAATGGTTTCCAAGCTAATGGAAAGAAAGGTACGATGGATTTGTTTGTTAGAGCTCTTTGTTGGTTGGTTGGTCAATTTACACTCGACGGGGTACTAACAAAATATCGTGTTTATGGCTTGCAGGTCATGTCTGTCTCTTTCCCTGACCATCGCACTATACACTCCTCTTGGTAATAAAATAGACTGTCATACATAAAGCATATTGTGCCACGTAATCTAAATTTTAAAATCATAACAGTTGCAGTGTTTGTTGAAAAAGGGAAACTAATGCCTGATGACCCCTAATACACACATAGGTTCGCAAGCATATGTACAAATACAGTTTAGAACTGCAAAATCGACGAAAAAAATTACTATATCAAACAGCAACTAAGCCTCTTAATTGTGGTTGGACTAATATCGAAAATCGGATTACGGTTAGGTTTCCGCACTTGACTTTCTCCGTGCTGAACGAACAGTGGCAACTGAATTATAAAGTTATGAAATTTTGACTTTGGTACAAAATGGATGTCAATTTTTTTCATCATAAGTATGTATGTTCAAAATTTGAGCATTGGATTTCAAGGAAGCTTGAATTGTGTTTTTGAAAAAGTTTGAGTCACAATTTTCAGAATTTGAGGGGATAACTTTTGAGATTTTCTATTTAGATATTGAGCATACATTTTGGTAATGTGCATATGGGGATTTGTTTCTACTTTGTTGTTTCTCTGAATCGCTAGATCTACGAGCTTAGTGCCGAATCATTTTGAACTTTGAATAATATCATAATTACAGAACTTCAATCAAGGACAAGCTCAGGGCTGGGCGATGCAGAATGTAATGGTCAAAGGGAAATGATGAGTCTCATGTGGGATTACTGACAAAGTGTAATTAACGCGTAGTGACCAGGAGAGGTTTATGCTTTCAGACGGAAACTGTTCACCCTTTATCTGTGTAGACAAATAATTCCCAGAACGGTATTTACTGATTATTTGCTTGACCAGAGGAGACAGTTTTAATTTGAAAGAGTTGATTTTCATGTCCTCTCCACTAACTTGTCCACTGTGCTTAGGAATAATCCCTCTCGACTCTATCTGACCGTGTAAATATTTGCATTGTAAATACTGGACAGAAGCGTTCTCTGCGTTTATGTGTAACTCCAGGGCTTTATTTTGAATCCTCAACTAATTTATCTTTAACTACACAAATAAATGTTTTACTTTACGCATGCAATCGAGGAAGGGAAAGCAAACGACTGTATTTTATGGTAAAAACTCGATTATCGAAACTAATTTTTATTATCGTTTCTACTTATGAAGCAAATAGTTTACCGGCTTGAGTGCCCATTTTATATGTATGTATAAGGAATCTAAAAATCAAGAAAATGTTAGTTGTCTCCCATTAATGACTCTGTTTTCACAGTCTTCTTCTCTGTTTATGTAGCTACAATTTTATCAATTTTTTGTCACTTTTTAATAGCCCACTCCAAAAATAAGAAGTGCTTAGGATTAGTATCAACATTTTGGTTTATTACATACATCTTGTCTTCGTATCATACTAAACCTCATTAATTTTCTGGTCCTGGATCTCGTAATATTTGTTTGAGACTCAATCCTTCAGTAAATAAGTTTAAGTAAAATAAACTGTGGATATTTCAAAAAAGAAGAAAGGAAATCTTTAACTATATTTCGCCAAGTCTTATGGATTAGGCAAATACACAGATCGTGAGTGTGAACAGGCAGACATATTTTAATATGCATCTTAAATCTCGAGTCATCAAAGTACTTTCGGAATTTTTCAAATTACAGACAACACAAAAATTTCAATAATGCTATTGCCCTTCTTGTACTCTAGTAAAGTGTAGTCACCAAGTTCTTTCACCCAATTAATTATTTACCATCCATCTCTCTTCATTCATCAGTGTCAAGATCCAGCGTTGAATAAATTTTTAATCAGATTCTCATTACCAGAGAATAATCAAGTTAAATTTTATATACGGATTTCGGTTCGGTATGCATTTTTCTAATAGAAGCGATCCGGTGTAACTTTTACTGTCATTGTCATCTTCAGATAGATACAAGCAAACCCTTTCCTAATTAGAAAGTTTTACTGCGCACTCCCGCATTAATTTTTTCAGTGAACTTCAATTCACACTTAATGAATTTCATTTGGCAAGAAAGCACTCAGGGAACTTTTGCTTCTCTAATATAAACAAGTACGACGGGAGATATCATTTGCAACTGGCATTAGTAAATTCCGATATTTGTGAAAATTTTTTAAAATTTTAACCACTTCACCCCTGAGAGACGAATATTTTCATACCTTTCACCCCTAGTAACGGCAAATTTTTTCTTCCCTTGACCCCGAAATTTTCACCTACTGCGTGACGTTAATTACTGGGAGATGAATTGAAAAATGGTGTTCCCACCGGAATTATTCTGGACACTTTTTTATGAAAGTTGATGCGAATAACCATTTGGGAACGGATTTTGAGTTGTAATTTGCCTTTGTGCATTTTTGCGAACCACTAACGTTTATAGCCGAAAATAGCCAACACGCCGAATTTAAAAATGATTGTAATTGCATGGAAAGTTGCACAAACATTGATTAATACGTGCATAATAGTACATATATATTCGCAAAAATCGATTATCGCGCCCCAAGGGCCCCAGAAGCCGATTTTAGCGGGAAAATTAAACATAGCAAATATGGCTTTCAATTCATGACATTGGCTTTAAATAATTTTGTAATTAGACTAAAATGTGTAAAAATTGCTTCTTGTAGATTTAACATGCATAGAATTTACGCATACTTAGGGCGGGAAAACAAACGTTTTCTTACAGTGACTTAAAATTGATAGCAGTGTTAATGAGTAATTATAGCATCAACTGTTCGAAACCATACTTTAGCGCATTTTGAATATAACTCAATTTTAACGGGAAAATTATATGCTACTTTCCAGACAATCTCTTAATTTTCCCGCCCAACGAGATTTCATCGGCTCCAGTGGTTAGTTTTCCCGCCAAAAATGTTGTTCGGACGTTCTAAATCCGAGAAAAACAATTTCACTAATTTTATCTGAAAGTGCTGTTGAAATATGGGACGAAAATTCCATGCAACAGCAGTTTTCAAAACTGGGCGTGTTAACTAGAAATAGCCAGTTGGCTATAAATTGTTTTTACCTCCATTTATAACTTTGGTTCCGAAGAGGCAATTCATCTTCTCGCCCAAATGGCGGATTGTTGACTCAAAACTATACTTGGAAGAGCAATGACCTATTTTTTTCTGGATACGACACATAGTCGTATGCCGGTGGGAACGGAAAATACGCCACATAGTCGTTTCCGTTGTCAAGGGTCAATACGACACATCGTCGTATTTCGGAGCCAAGGGAACTTACGCCACATAGTCGTATTCGGCGTAAAGGTCAAATACGCCACATAGTCGTTATAGGGGCGAAGTGGTTAATAATATTTTCATTGTGTGATTAAACAAAGTGATAATTTATATAAGCATCTTCGTTTGAGCAAAATGAGGATTATGAACTTAGAACGAAATCGAACTTAAGAAACCAGTAAATCCCTTCATCATAGCTGAGACGTTGCGTTTTTATTGGTCGAGAAGTGGGTGGAATAATAAGTGAGCGACCCTTTTCAGTTCTTTTGTTCAGCACCTTTTCCAATGGAAAATTTGGAAAACGAAAAGATTTTATTCTAGGGGCTCATTTACTCCTGTAGCACAAGGAAGACCATATTTACTCTTGAACAAAAAAAACCAGACCTGACGAAACCTGTGTTCTTTTCAGGTAGGTAAAGCTTGAATCTGTGCAGGTAAACAGACCGATAAGGAAAGCAGATCATAAATACGAAAAGATCGACCCAGACTTTGAGACGCCAGACGAGACAATAATAAGAAAAGGGAGATGCTCAGTCGTACCCCATCTCGTACAATGTGGTAAGAAAATACGGACGTATGCACATATACATACACACTTTATGAACATGTATAATTTGTTTAGAAAAAATTATGGTC